ACTAAAAGGATAATCAAAAAACCTGTTGCTGTGAAATTGAGTCCCACAGACGGCAGCCTGTGTACTTTAAAGTAGAAATACATTCCACCAGGTTTTTGTGGTTTGGCACTGTGGGATAAAGTGCTGGACCACAAGGTTGGCAGTTCAAACTCACCAGACACTCCTTGAAAACCCTAGGAATCAATCTACAGCACTTAACAACAATTGATGGCAGCAGATCATGAGAGCCCCTGGGTTGATGAGAATCTCTAGTCTTTCAGTTCGGAGGTGAGAGTACACACCACCACCCAGGAAGACAGCCACAAAAGGCTGTTTAATTTTACTCATATGAAATGTTCAGAGTAGGCAAATCCAAAGAGACAGAAACTAGATTAGTGGTTGCCAGGGGATAAGGGAACACGTGGAGCCAACAGATAAGGGTTTTCTTTTTTTAGGGGGGAGATGGAAACGTTCTGGAATTGGATGGTGGTGATGGCCGTGTGACACTACAGATATACTAAAAACCACTGAATTGAACCCTTTGAAAGGGGAAGTTTTATGTGATGTGAATTTTAACTCCATTCTTTAAAAAGGGAATTAATTACTCTGAAGTTCATTTTCCCTTTAAAAGTCAAATATAAAAATTAATCTGACAGTGTAACTCCCAAAACCTTCTCCTCGACAGACCAAGAGGTGTGGGGGTTGGATTCTGCATGTGGGAGTGGTACTGGTCTTGAGATAAGACACCTCTGTAGACTGTCATATCCATGGTTACGGGCCACATCAGTGAACAGCATTCTCTGCTTCAGTTTGATATGTTTAATGAAAATGGTGCTTGTGTGGGGAGGTCCACAGTACCTGCGTAGGATGGAGAGAATGGGAGAACAGCTATTTCCTCTCCATTTCAGGAGCTAAGCAGGAGCCCGCCCCTATGCAGAGATATTCTGGGCAATGATGGTTAAACAGCCATAATCTCAGCTTTGTGAGCGCAGAGGTGGGTCCTGGATGACCTCTGAAAGGGGCACCACCCCAAGAGAGAGATGAAAGGTTCCCTTCTGTTCAATTAGCCTGTTTTCAAGGATCAGAGCCTGGATGGCAGGCGGAAAATTCCACACTCTAGTGAAACAAAAGAGAGCCAGAAAGGAGGGCAGATCAAGGACATAAGCTCAAGGCAGTCTTCATTCTCTCTGCACACAGGAGTGCTCAAGTCCAGATAGGCCGATTAAATTTCACTATATGCTTACGTACGGCAGAGTGAAGAGCCACATCTATTTGGGTAGTTCCCATGGTGGGATGCATACCATGGGGGTGTGATGGATGATGCTACTTGACAAATGAACGTGGCATGAAGTCACTGAATCACATTACAAGAAAATTACTGTCTCAACTTTCTGATTATACCAGAGAGAAAGGCTGCAGCCTTTTGGGGCTGCTGTACCTTTAATACCTCTTTTATATTTTGTAACAAGAGAAAGAAGACGCAGAGTCTTTAGTAGGTAACAGTATCTAGGCTAAACTGAACACATATTCAGTGACACTGTGTTTATTTTTACTTCTTTATATTAATATAGTATTTATGGCAAGTGTGGCAAGTTTTCCTGGTAAAGTAGAGAGGAAAAAAGTTTCTTTACAAAATAAATGGACTTATGGTTAAAAAAAGAAAAAGTGAGTTGCTCATAAAAATAAATATAAAAGAAAAATAAGTAAGGGTAGTATACAGATGGAGCAGGAATCATGAAAGTGGTACAAGAATGTCAGAAACTTTGGGAATGCCACTTTCCTTCTGTGACTTTACTGATGAACACCTTTCTAATACACCTCAAGCCTTGGTTTGACCTTATACATGCTGTCTCAAGGATCTTGGCTTCTTTCAGATTCCTTTTTCTGAATAATGTTTTATTGTGGTTTCAGAAGGTTTGCATAGCAGGTTAGGTCTCCACTCACAGTCTCTATACAAGCTGGCTACACTCTTTACAGTGCATGAGCATTCTCATTACTTCCATTCTGGCTGCTCCATTTCCATTCATTTAGTTTCCCGCTCCTGTACCTTCTTACCTGTTTTAAAGCAATTGCTAACTGTTTGATCTTGCATCTACGGTTTCTTAAGGAAGTGCAGTACTTTAGGGTTGTTGTTGTTAAATGCTGTTGAGTTCCAACTCATAGCGACCCTGTGTATTGTTTCCAAGCAGCAACTGGTGAGTCTGAACTATCAGCCTTGCGGTTCAAACGGACTTTAAGGTAGAGTGTTTATCCTATGGCGCCACACCAGGACTCTGGTCTTACGGGTGCTAGATGTTAATTTCTTGAGCCAATTTGTTATTTAGTTATGGGGCAACCTCAGGGTCATGGTATCGTTCATGATTTCAGCCCTCCCAAGGACCTCCTCCCGCACCTTAGTAATGTTTCTGATCAATTTAACTCTTAGAATAATATGTGATAAATGTAGTTATGTAAATTGCTTAAATGTAAAACTTCTCACATTATATGAATAGTAACAACAGAATGGAGTCCTGGAGTGGCATGGTGGGATAAAGCACTGGACCACAAGGTAAGTTTGGACCACAAGGTCAGTGGTTCAAACTCACCAGCTATTCCTTAGAAACCCTATATAGGGTAGCTATGAGTCAGAACTGACTCAATGGCACTTAACAACAACAACAACAACAAATCTGGTTTATAAAATCAACACTGAATTACAACATTATTAATTATATTATTAGTAACTGAAAAGAAGCCTATTTTGATTTTTCTCCCTTTTTTCACCTTTAATTACTACTCCATTCTCAAAATAGCTATTGATACAATTTAACAAGTACTAATTGCCACAAGATTGTAGCTAAAAACACAGAAAATGTGACAAAAACACTAGCAGTAAGGAAAACAACAGTGTGTGCTTGTAATGCATGCAGACAAAACCAGGTGATTTGAAGTGTCATTGTAATTAGGTAATAATGGGCTGGCCTGAGCCCATTAGAAGATTTAAAAATAAGTCAGGATTGAGATTTAGCCTTGTAGGCATATTTGATATATGCAAGCTGGGCTTATAAAAAAGTTTTTATTTTTATAACTAACTACAGGGATTTTTTTAAAATAAAAAATAACAAAAATCTGCTGAAACACTGTACAAAAATTTTATAGACACTCATATTGGTGTCACCCCTTCTGACAGCATCACGAGGTACAGTCTATATCGTCTGTACCCATGATGCCACTGCCTCGGGGTTAGTTTTTGTCCAAGGTTTAAAAAGCATTTTAGATCAATAAGAGAACATAAAATCATACAGTTACTTAATTTATTTGTGAAACTTTCATCTAAAACGGTGTTTAATGTTGTTAAGCATCTTCGACTAACTTCTGATTCAGAGACCCTGTACAGAGTTCGAAAAAGGATGGTGGGTTTGAATCACTGACCTTTGGTTAGCTAGCCATCCAGCGCTTATCCTGATAAATATTTCAAATTTAAATATATGCAAATGGTTGTATAAAAACCATCTAGTAAATATCATCATGAATTTTATGTGCTTTACTTACATAAAATCCTCAAATTTTGCCCGTGTCATCTCACCTCTTACCTCATCCTATGTGCTATCCCTAGGTTGCTCTATAAATTCCCTCTATTAGTATCTATACATTGAAAATCATAAATCTCTTTCTTCAAACGTAGACAAAAATACTACTGCCTGCTGAACATATCCACCATGTCACCACAATCAGGAAAGTTCGATTAGCAAAGTTTCCTTTGTCTCCCTCTTCCTACACTTAAAATTAAACAATATTTCAATTAATTCTTCATAATCATACTACCACCTTGATCATTCTTTAAGAAAATGAGGTATATTCAGTATTTAAAACCAATTTTGGTTTCCCACGTCCCACAGGATAAAACCTAAGTTCCTACAGAGAGGTCAAAGTGAGCATGGTGGCTCCATAGGATAAACATTGGACTGTGAACCACAAGATCTACGGTTCTAGTCCACCAGCCTCTCTGCAGGACAAAGATGAGGTTTTCTGTACCTGCAAAGTTTTAAAGTCTTAGAAATCCTAAGCAGGGTCGCTATGAATTAGAGCTCCCTCGATGACACTTAACAACAACAAACAGAGAAATCAAAGCCTTTCCATCATGTGGCTCTTGATACTTTCAATTACTGGTCCCTAGACCACTCCTTGGGCTCTGCTTTCACCATTCTGAACTCTTTACAATTCAGAAATCAATCAGTATGGTTTCTGTCCAAAAAAAAAAAAGTATCTTAGAAGTAGTTTTAGGGAGTCCTGCAATCTCAACCATTCCAGTAGAACTGAATTGCTGGTTTTTTTTTAAGGAATTAAGATTCTGGTCCACAATTTCCTCCCATTCTGTTAAGTCTTGATGAACATGGTCTGTAGTGGTAGCTGGCTACCATCTAGTTCTTCTGATCTCAGGGTAGTAAAGGCTATGGTTTGTGTTGACTACTTGTTCTGTAGACTAGTTTCTTCTTTGAGTCCCCAGCTTCCTTTGCTCTAGGTGAATACAGACCAAGAGCCACATCCCAGATGACTCTGTTCACAGGTTTTTAAGATGTCAGACATCACTCCCCAAACTAGGATGTAGAACATAACTTTACAAACTATGTTATGCCGACTGACTGAAATGTCCCATGAGACTATGGTCCTAATCTTTCAAACCTAGAAATCCCATCCTACAAAGCGCCTAATTCGTTTTATAGTGTGCATCACTGCACCTGTATGAGCCTCACTGGATCAGCAAGCAGTGATAAAAAAAAAAATATCTAAGGAGTAATACACCCACAAACCTTGGAAGACAGAATAAGTGACATAAGACACTATCAAACACCTGAGAGACTAGATGCAAGAATATTTCCAAAATTTAAGAAACAAAGAAAAAATAAATATATATAAGCACTTTTCTGTCTGATTGAAATTTCTCATGATAAGACATTGAACAACAACAATTAAAAAGGCAAGCAGAGAAGATGACATGATGCTACTCTTAAAAACTTCAATTATAGAATGAATTAACTTACCAATAATAGATTTTTATCAGTGCTGAAGGCCACAGGAGAAACGAGGCAACGAAGGCCAGGATTGGGATGGCCAGGGTGCCGCCCGCGATCACAAACATGTTAACCACGTCAAGGTCCATCTTCCTCTTGAGGCTGGCAAACACCTGCAGGGACTGAAGGGAACAGCAACACTGAAATTCTGGCTCACGAGGAAAGAGGAAGCGAAATGGGCAGAACCCAAGATGAGAATAAACATAAAGAGGAAACACTAGACATGACAACTGGGATGGAGCAAGGGAACCTTGAGTGCATTCCAGATTTGTTTTTTGTTTTTTTTTTTAAGGGAGGGAGCTCTAAGGACATGACTGGGACAAGTACAGAAATCTGAATCAGGACCAGATATCAGATAACAATCTATCAGGCATACAGTTCTTGAGTATGGTGATAAAATTGTGGTTATGAAAGAAAATATCCTTGTTCTTAAGCAATGCTTGATGAAGTGTTTAGGAGTGAAGTATAATGATACCTTTTACCCACTTTTAAAACTTTCAGAAGAGAAAAGTATCTTTGTGAGTGTGTGCATATGCCTGCATGCAAGGGTGTATATGTGTGTGGTGAAGCAGGCAGGGGAAGCCGAGAGACAATAAGCAGATACCAACACAGGGGGATGTTAAGCTCGATGAATCCAGGTGAGGGACAGAAGGATCTGTTGTACCATACTTTCAATTTGTCTTCAGTTTGTAATTTAAAACAATAATAATAAAAATTAGGGAGGGCTTAGGAACCTAAAATAAACAAATGAAGAGAAAAATTTGTGTGTATATATATAGCTCTGGAACTGTGCATAAGAAACCAATACCCGGGGTTACATCCATGGTGTCAGGAAGACTCACATTTCACTGAATACCCTTTTAATTCTCTCAAATTATGAATCATACATGTACAGTCCACTCAAAACGCATTGTACACAATACAAAGTTAAACCACAGCTGCCATGTGGTACAGAGTAGAACTGCTTCCTAGGGTGTTCTTGCCCGGAATCTTTATGGAAACAGATCTCCAGGACTTTCTTACATGATATGATACCACTGGGTGGGTTTGACCCACACACTTTTAGGTTCATTGTCAAATGCAATCCATTTGCACCATCCAGGGATCTTTTCTCAGTAAAATGTTAGGAGGGAGTGAAAAACCTAAAATATATAGTTTTCCAAGTATTTTCTGATGTCATCCCAATGGTTTAATGGACACACCTGACGGCCAGAATGCAAGCTCCAAGAGGGCAGGGACTATGTCCTCAGCACCCAGTCTAGGGTCTAGTGTACCAGAGGAACTTAGAAATCACAGCTGAATGTAAGGTCAGAAGCCCCATTTAGAGCTCACAGCGGGGTTCACTCTAGTGTGTATGGAAAAATATTTCAACTCCTACCAGCCTCCTTGATCTAGAAATCAACTCTCATAGTGACCTCAGAGCTAGGTGTCCCTCTGCCTCAATTCCCTGCCACCTACGTTAGGTGTGCAGGAGTCACTAAACACAAAAAAAGAGACTCGTCAAGAAAAATCAATCCAGCAAAGCACAGGCTTTCTTGTATTTCCTATAGAATGGAGAACTCTTTCCCATATACCTCTGTTAGGGCCACACATTTAAATTTGGCACAGCATGATCTCACAACTATGGATCTCACAACTATGGTCCACAAATATTTTAGGCCTTGTGGACCAAAGAAGACTCAAAACTCACTTTGCTGATGTAGGAAGAAAGCAACCAGAGACAATATGCAACAAATGGACTTGACTTGGCTGTATTCCAATAAAAAGCTTATTTACAAAAACAGGCTGCAGGTGAAATTTGGCCCACAGGCCATAATTTGCCAACCTTTCATATGATACATCAGCACTAACAAATAGACAAGGCAGGTGTTTTATCTCCAGCTTTCTAGCCCGAGGAAACTGAAATTCAGAGAGGTTAAGTAGCTTGTCCAAGGTTGTCCAGTGGAAGGAGTCATGATTATAAAACGGATTTCTGACTCAGAGCCATTGTTCTTTCCAAAAGCTCTACTTTTGTTTTCAATTGCCTTTTCATGATCTTTGCTACCCCTTTGCTATTAAGTCCTCACATGCATCATGTCAAAGTTTTCCATGGAAGGTGTTAAAGACGGGGTATCTCCATTTAGATGTTTTGTTCTTGGCAAGAGCTCTGGCCAGCTTCAAGGGGAAGACAGGTGGGCTAGATGGTTCTTCTCCGTTATACATACACTGTCTCTGGGGACAGTCCCGGGTCTACAGAGATGACCGCTGCCATCCGCCTAGGGGCATGAACACTGCCTTTGTTTCTGACTCAGCTGCTCTCTCGCTTTCTCTGTCACGGTTAGTAAGCACTTCACTCAGCACACGTAAATCACTGCCCTGTTTTTCTTTCTAGAATGAAAGCTCCTTGGGGTAGGGTCAATCATATATGTTCTAACTCAATGCCTTGACTAGCAAAGGGCACAGATGAGGGGCAAATGAATTCATGAAAATCAAAGTTACAAAAGTGGCCCAATCCTGTCTAATTTGTTTTAGGGACACCCCTGGGCCATGACACTGTAAGAGACATGACATTTTCCTCTTTTTCAGTAATTACCAAACTCCCCGGAGGTGTCACCTATTTAATTCAAGGTACAATTTACCACACTAAAAGGCCTCCTAGACCAGGGGTGAGCAAATCCATGACAGAGTGATGGGAATTAGGGTGCATCTGTCTGAACACTGTGGGTCATGACTTCAGAGGACCTAGACCCTAAAGACTGCTAAGGGCCACTGTGAATTCCAATTCCTGAGCAGCAGAAAGTTAATTACATAACATTCTGTTGGACTAGGAATTAGAACATTTTATGCCCAGAGCCATATATATCATAGGCTGACACTGGAGGTGGTGGCCCTGAATTGAAGGTAAGATTATCACAAAGACACCTCAGTGCTTGGTCGAAGGTCAAAGTCAGCTTCATGGGGCTCTGTCTTCCTTTTAACAGCAGACCAAAGTCTTCAGGAAGGTGCTTTTATAGTGATTGTATGATCGGTTTATAGCAAGCCTTGGACTTGCTACAGAGAACCATTACAAAGTCAAATAAATCAGGTGGAAGAAACTGCACTGGTTTCTGAGTTTTCTTTTAAAAAGAGTGGGTAATCATTCCTAGCTGTGTAATATCCTTTATTTTACAAAGGGTTTGCTTGCCCCAGCTTTCTTTTGAAAAGGTGGCTCACCTGACCCGGTGATGTTTATTTACAGAGTACTCACAGCACCGCTATGAGTTGAAATCCACTGGACTGCAGTGGGTCTGTAGATACCCAAGGTGACTGAAGTCTTGAGAGCCAGGAACCACCAATGACCAAAGATCAACTAAGGGGTATAATGTAGAGTTTCCTAAAGCATGGAGCATGTACAACTGATGGTTTGTGTTACTGACTGAATTGTGTCCCTCTCACACCACCACTAAAAAAATGTGTTGGGATTCTAACCCCTAAACCTGTGGATCATTCAGGAATAGGGCTCTTTGTTGTGTTAATAAGGCCCTGTCTGTCAGTACAGGCTGCTTAACTCTAATCACCTTTGAGTTATAAAAGCACATTAGCAACAGAGACAAGCAAGCACAAATGAGGGGAAGATAAATGCCAGGTGGAGATGCACTTCCCAAGGAGCTGAGAGATAGGCTGGGACTATGGAAGCCAACATGAGGACCCTCCCCCAAGGCAACAGAGAGCCCTTCCTTGACCTTGAGCCAGTGCCCTGAATATAGACCTCTAGATTCCAGAACTCTGAGGGAATCAATGTCTGTTCTTGAAAGCCATGTGGTGCTATGGGTTAATACGCCAGACTGCAAAGCCATTTGAATTGCAAGGTCTGAGGTTCAAGCTCACCAGCTGCTCCTCAGAAACCCTATACAGAGTTGCTATGGGTCGGAATCCACTCGACAGCACTTCACAACAACAACAATAACACTAGAAGACACTTTAAAAGATGACTTTAGGGACTATGAGAATACTAAATCATGCTCCAGGGGTACTCAGCACACATATTGAGAAAATTTCAGTTCTCCTTCAGTCCTACTTAGGTCAAAGACAGACTCTCAGCATGGAGCTGTTAAAGAGCTTTCTAACACTGAGCCTTCTGCAGGAAACTGTATCTAGCTATTCCATAACATTTATATTTATTCTTATGGATCGTTTTAGTTTATGAGAAAAACAACCCAAACCAAAGCCATTACCATCGAGTCGATTCTGACTCACAGCAACTCTACAGGACAGAGGTGAACTGCTTCTTAGGGTTTCCGACACTGTAAATCCTTACGGAAGCAGATAGACTCATCTTTCTCCTGCAGGGTGGCTGGTGGGTTTGAACTGCTGGCCTTGCAATTAGCAGCCCAACACTTAATCCACTGTGACACCAGGGCTCCAGCTTATGATAAATCAAAATCAAATTAAAACCACTGCCATCAAGTCAACTCCAACTCACAGTGACCCTATACAGGCTTTCTGAAATGTACATCTTTAAAGGAGCAGAAAGTCTCATCGTTCTCCTGAGGAATGGATGCTGGGTTTGAACTACCAACTTTGTGGTTAGAAGCCCAACACCTAACCTATAGCAACAACTGGAATCCTTCCAATTTATAACAACGATCCAAATTGCTTTCTAAAATGAATTAAGTTAAAGGCGATATTAAATAAGGTGAGAGGTACATCTGGTGAAAACCACAATGGCGCTCACACTAGTAGTGTGAAGCTGAGGGTGAAGCACTCCAGCTGGTGTTCCATCCTGGCTGGGCCAATCCCAGATGTCAGACCTTGGTTTTCTCATCTATCCAGAGGATAATCAACCCAGTCATCTCTCTTGTCCTTTCCTACTCTGCTGACTTACAACATTTCTGAAACGATGCTAGGCAATTCAAGAGTAGGATCTGGCTTGCTCCATGAGTATCTTGTTCCCTGTTTTATTTTCCCACAACTTAACAACAGTGCCTGGCAAATCTATGATCTTTAATAATGCTTACTGCTTGAATAAACTAAAAACTAAACATTCATTCATTTTACCTATCTATTGTAGAAAGTGAAGCACATCAGTGTTAACAATGGTGCAAGGTACCCCTATAGCATGGTAGGAAGCATCATAAGGAAGGGTGGGCAACATATTCTCAGATCCCAGACTTGAGCCTGCCCCTTCCCTCCTTCACCAGCTTTTAACACTCAACCTAGCCCTTTTCTCTGAACACAGGGGGAAAGACTAGTTTAACAGAGGATACTTTAATGGATCCAGATAAACACTGCATCAGAGGAAACCTGCTGTTGTTAAGTGCCATCAAGTTGGTTCTAACTCATAGTGGCCTTGTATAGGGTTTCCAAAGAGCAGCTGCTGAGTCTGAACTGCCGATCTTGTGATCCAGTGCTTTATTCCACAGAGCCACATTAGGACTGCAAGTTGATTTTTTTTGCTGTTGTTAAGGGCCTTTGAGTTGATTCCGACTCATAGCAATCCTGTAAAGGGTTTCCAAGGAGCAACTGGTGAGTTTGCAGTTCAAACTGACCTCGAGGTGGAGTCTTATCCTATGATACCACAGAAGGAAGGTGCAGTATTTCCTGGTGTGGTGCTATAGGATCAGCACTGGACTGTGAGCCAAAAAGTCAGTGGTTCAAACCCACTGGCTGCTCTTTGGAAACTCTACACTGAGTTGCTATGAGTTGGAACCAAGTTGACGGCACTTAACAACAACAATGTGCCAGTTATAAGAGCCCTGGTGGTACAGTGGTTAAGTGCTCGGTTACTAAAGACACGTTGGTTGATTGAATTCCCCTCAGGGGCTCTGAGGGAGAAAAACTTGTTGACTGCTGGCATAAAGACTAAAGCCAATACCACTACTGAACAATCTGATCAAAGAGGCCATAAAAAGAATCTTGATCAAAAGGGAGAAAAAGGAGAACAGAATTTTAAATTATCATGGACCCCGACCTGAAGTCATGGAGAGTGGATGAAACTCTGAAATTGCTACCCTAAGATAATCTTTAAACCTTAAACCAAAAATGTCTCAAGTCTTCCTAAAATTAAACAACACTTTAGGTTAACTAGTAAAAAAGGTCAGCCTTCAGCACTGTGTTCTTTTACGAACTAAAATGGCAAAAGCAAATTGCAAGATTGGTGAGGAACCATAGGGGGCAGTGTACATTAACGAGGAGGAACAAATCAGAAAAGGAGACCGAGAAGGGCTGCGCAACGTGAAGAATGTAATCAGAGTCACTAAATTATATAGAGAGAAACTGTTGAATGGGTGTATGTTTTGCCGGATACATTTTTCAACAACAACAAATTTTAAAAATTAAAAACAAAACAATTACAGGCAAAAATTCCTATGGGGCAGTTGTACCCTGTTACATGGGACCACAATGGATAAAATTCAACTTGACAGCACCCAAAAACAACATTTGACAGACCCAGTCTCTTCCAGTATTCTCACTGATTGTAACATCTGGGAATCAGAGCTCTAATACCATAATCTTCAGGGTTTAAGGTAAAAATCCAAGAGTAAACAGAAAGCATACATTACATTTGCAAAGAATAATGCCTTTCCCTGGACATCTGGACAAATGCCATAAAATTTAACAAATCTAATGTCCTATGTCTGCCAAATTAATAATAATCATAATGGCAGCAACAACCATGCCCATCATCATCATAGCCAAAACCCTTAGGGTGATGGCCTCCATTTATTGAGTAACTACTAAAAGCCAGGGCTCGTGTAAGTGGTTCATAGACATCCTCTCATTTTTCCCCTCACAACACCTTAAGGAAAGAAGTATTTTTTTCCCTTTGTAAAGACTGAAAAAAATAAGCTCTAATGAGGTTAAGAAACGCCTCCAAGGTCACTTGGCTGGTTAGTGGTGTGATCTGATCCAAAAATTCAATCATGTGGATTTCCAGAGCTCACGCTATCGCTGCCTTTCCTCAATGCTTTCCAGATCTGATATTATCACAAGATAGTGCAATCAGTTATGCAGTTTGCACAAGACAAACAGATCAGCGTCCACATCAACAACCTTTGCATTCCTTAGTTGTTGTGGTTGAGCACTGCTGAGTCAGTTCTGATTCACAGCGAGCGACCCTGTTCAGGGTTTCCAAGGAACAGATGGTGGGTATGAACTGCTGAATTTGTCGTTAACAGTTCAGTGCTGATCCTTCAGCGCCATATCAGGATTTTAAGATCAAGGAACATGTCAACAACTTTACAACCCACCTTATTTGGGCTGACATGTTTTTAATACTATCCAGAACTGCTTATGAACTTTTCCTTTAATTCTGAAAAGTGAAAATTCTTTCCATAATGTTTTCCATTAGAAACACACTATGTTCTTGAAATCTGGGTGCAATATGTCAGCTATTACATACTGTTGCATCTGTTCAATGCTTGGCTTTGAAATTAGGTTCTTCAAAATTATTATCAATGATTAACAGCTGAAAAAGACACAAACAAAAGAATATTTTCTTTGGAAGCCCCAGAATTGACAAGACAGAGTAACTCAAGAAATGGGTACTTCTAACTCCTTGTCACATATATTTTCCTTGTCACAGAGGAAGAACACACGTTCAAGCAACTAGTTAACCTTGCCCAGTCAATCACTGTGGTAATACCCTCAGCATTACTGCCTTCCTGGCCTTTATGTCTCCTACTCACTGTAAATCAGCCCCTTACTCCTTTACACTTTGTAGCTCGAGCAGCTTGGTTCTGAACCCACGTCATGGCTGTGAGCATACCTGGCATGGGTTCCATAATGCTCTCTTCACACGCTCCCCTGGACATTCTTAGGATACTCTTGTTACTCTCTTCCCTGTAAATTCCCATGATGCTCTCCTGCCTCTCCCCCTGGATATTCCCATGATGCTCTTCTCATTCTCTCCTTTGGATATTCTGTTGATATTCTCCTTATTCTCTTCATTCCTGTATCATCCACCACTTCCTCCTGCAAGAAACTTTAAAACCAACATTCCTGGCCAAGAAGTACTTCTAGACTTTTCCAGATGCCTACTTGATGACCCAAAGGGTCTTACTAGAGCCTCAAACACAAAAAGCCTTCCAGCTTTTCTTAACTCACCAGGTTCTGCCAACAGCAACCCTAACAGGCTAGTCTCTCTGACTCTGATGCACCTTACAGTCTTCCTACCTGGTTCTTCACTCCGGTAGTACAATGGTAAGGATGAACCAGCACTAAATGCAGACAAGTCGCTCTGTCCAAGACAGTAGCTCCTAGCTGCCTGTGGTTATTTAAATTAGTTAAAATTAAATAAAATTCAAAAACATCTCTTGCAACCAATCCCTGAAGACTGGTTTAACATTTACTAGGAAAGCTGGGTGGAAATAAAAATTCTCACTAGATGTGGGACTCTATATAACTCAGAACATAGTTCTTCATCAACCACAGTGGGATCTTGCCCTCATTGCTTCTTGCCACCATTTCTGTAAAAGCTACCCTTTCCCAACCCCAGTTACCAGAAGAATCTTCTCAACTAAAAACAGGGATAAATCTACGCTGGCCTATTAATGTCCACCAAATAAAATGTGGACTCCAAAGACGCCACACAGTCTCAGTCCAGTCCTGCATTCCATATAACCAACTCCGTTTTCCTCATGCAGTCTCATCAGTCTGTCTTTCCTTGCTCCTTCTGTGTGGTGTATTCTCCAGCCCTAGTTGCCTGATGAACCCCTCTTAGTCTTCAGAGCATGTCTCAAACACCACATTCAGCAGGAAACCATCTGCAACTCCATAGGTCCTGACTCCTTTCAAACACAGAGCCCTGCTCCTGGCACAGGTTTGAGGACTACTTGTAGAATGTTTGTTGTTGTTATTAAGTGCTGACAAGTTGATTCTGACCCACAGCGACCCTGTATAGGGTTTCCAAGGAGCAGCTAGTGAGCTTGAACCATTGACCTTACAGTTCAAACTGACTTTGCAGTCCGGCGCATTAATCCACAATGCTATATCAGGATTCCTGTAGAGGGTTTTCTGGAGTATGAATGAGCTTCTGAAACCCTCAGGTACCAAGTTTCTACCCACCACACATACTAAACCACAGAAATCACTCACCAGGTTGACCTGCAGAGGGGTTGTTAGGGAGCATATAGAGGTGGCCCCACTTCCTTTTTCGGTAATCTATGGTGCAAAAAATCAATACTCACTCTTCAAAGAGCCCGCCTTCTTTCCCAGCTGCTACTGGCTCAGGCAGGAGCTGAAAATAAGATTCTGAAATCACGAGAAATAAAATGCCAAAGCATTAAATCATATTAGGGAATATGAATGAACTGCTAACAGCAGGTCACACTGCTGGCTTCGATGGAGATGGAGCTTTCCCCTCCTTAGCAAAGTCGAACGACAAAAATTCTGTGACTTCATAGTCTGCCTTTTGCTCTGGTCACCTCCCCCAGTGAAACGACCTGCACTAGTTATTCTAATGTACACAAAGGGCAGGGCCTCTCAGATAATTACCCAGGCACAGGCGTGCTTGAAAGAGGTCAAAGAATCAGTAAGTGGGGAGAAGATAGAGTGTGGGAGGTGCTTTGTGATAGTCTTGCTTCACGGGTGAAAGACGCAATGATGGAAGAACAGGCATTCTCAGGGAAAGGTGGTTCTAAAGATTATAAAATTACTAAGAACCTCAAATAAAAATATAAAAGTCTCCTGCTCCATCTAGGATTGCAGTTTATCTAAAAGCTGTACTCAGAAGGGAATAAGAGAAGGCAGCAATAAATGGGCAAATGAAGATAATATTGGTACCAACGTGGCTAGTGACTAAGGCCCACACTTTGCAAAAACAGGGCTGGTCAGCCAAAGAGAAAAATACACAGTACAGCATGGAAGAACCTTGAAAACTGTGAACAACACTATGTCGAGTGAAACATGCCAGGCCCTGAAGGTCAAATAGTGTGTGATTCCAGTTACATGAAATAACTAGAACAAGACAAATGTATAGAGACAAAAGTTTACTAGTGGCAAGCAGGGGCAGGGAAGGGAAGGGAATGGGAGTTACTGCTAGAGGGTTTTTGTTTGGGTGATGGACATTTTTTGGATATGGAGCGTGATGGTAGAAGCGCAACAAGGAGAATTAATGTCACTAACTTGTAAATTAAAGATGGTTAAAAACAAAAAGGTCAAGGCCCAGCAGCAAAAGGAAAAAGGAGATGGGCAAAGAAAAATCAGCAAACCCCCTAAATTATTTCAGTTGGGCCAAAGAGTTAAAGAGAAAAATAAAATTCTAGAAGTTCTAGAAGACACCATAGGCACAACTTGTTGTTGTTAGGTGCCATCGAGTCAGCACCGACTCATAGCGATCTCATGCACAGCAGAACGAAACAATGTCTGATCCTGGGCCAACCTCACTACTGTTGCCACACTTGACTCCATCGATGCTGCCACCTGGCCAATTCATCTCATTGGGGGAGACCATAAAGAAAATATTGATCAGGTGATTTGCATAAAAATGGCCACATGTACAGGTATACTATAAATAACATTAAATTGTGTTAATATATATCAGAGGCAACAGGTTAATTTTCTTAATGCATAAAGAAAACTTACAGATTCAATAAGAACAAACAAAACAAAAAACACCAACAATCCAGTAGAAAAACAAGCAAATTACATGAATAGAGGATTTACCAGAAAAGTAACACATATGTCTATCAAATGACGCTCAATCTCAATTATAATAAGAGAAATGTAAGTTAAAACTACAAAAGGAACCGATCTTTATTATAATAGTAGACAACAGACTACCTAACAGACTAGTGGCGAGGAATGAGGTAATGGATACCACTCACATGCCCCTCAACAATTTGGCAAAAATAGCGTCAATGTAAAAACTACAGACTCTTGATTTACCAATTTCACTTGCATAAATTTATCGATGTTTATTCCTGAACAGGTGTGAAAATATCTGGGCAAGATTATTCATCATATTACATATGGGAAAGGTTGGAAATAACTTCCATCATCAATGCCCATTTATACGGGATCTCTTAAGTTCAAGGAGGTTTTAAAAAAGTTCGTGGAAAAATTCCATTATCTTTTAATTCTGCTTTCCCATGAACTTTCTGAAGTCCCTCGTATATGATAAGAGAGCTTAACAAAGGAACATTACAATGTTACTGTTTAGTGGCCCCGAGTTGGTTCCAATTCATAGCAACCCTGTATAGAGATCCTGAGGAGCGGATGGTGAGTTTAAACCATAAGCTTTGTGGTTCAAACTGACCTTGCGGTCTAATGCTTATTCTACATCACCACAATAAAGCCATTAAATATAAATAAAAGTAAATACAAGTTATCAAAATAATGAGGAAGTTCTATTTGCCTCCAAGAAATAGTGTTTACTCCAAAAGAGCAAGGAGTAAGAAAGGACGGAATTCACACCTCTTCTGAGGAAAGCGAGCAAGAAGAGGGGAGAACACATTATGCTTATATATGTGAGGAATGTTTCTGGACAGATACACAAAAACCTGGCACTGGCTCGAGAAACTGGGGCAGAGGTGGGAAGGAGACTTCATGGAAACCCTTCTGTGTACCTTCAGAATTGTTACCATGTCCCTGAACAAAGGTTTTTCTATTTAATTTAAAATACCATATGTTGTTGTTGTTGTCGTTGTTGTTATGTGCCGTAGAGTCAGTTCCAACTCACAGCAACCCGAGGCTGTAAATCTTTACGGGAGCAGAAAGCCTCATCTTTCTCCCACGGAACAGCTGGTAGTTTCGAACTGCTAACCTTGTGGTTCACAGCCTGATTTGTAACCACTACACTACCAGAGCTCCTTAAAATACCATATAAGTGCATAAAAAAATAGCCAATCCTGTGCTGTCCAACACAGACGTCACTAGCTATATATATGGCTGTTTAAATTTACATGGAATAAAATTCAAAACTCAACTCCTTGGTTGCACTAGTCACATCTTAAGTGCTGTAAAGCCCTGGTGATACAACATTTAAGTGCTAGGTTGTTAACAGTAAGACTGGCAGTTTGAACCCACCCACCAGCTCCAAGGGAGAAACACCTGGCAACCTGTTCCTATAAAGATGACAGCCAAGCAACCCCTATGGGGCAGTTCACCTCGGTCACAGTGGGTCACTCTGCATTGTCTCACAAGTATGCTCAATAGCTCCACGTGGTTGTTGTTGTCAAGCACTGTTGAGTTGGTTCTGACTCATAGCAACCCTGTATAGGGGTTCTCGAGGAGTGGCTAGTGGGTTTGAACCGCCAACCTTACAGTTAGCAGTCCAGTGTTTTCCTGCAGTGCCACACCAAGACAGCATAGATACAGAACATTTTCATCATTACAAAAGCTTCTGCTGGACAGAACTAGACTCTACAAAAAGCACTGTTAGAGAGAGCAACCAAACGTAAATGGTTTTGCTTGAGGGGGAAAATAGTCACTCGAACTCCATTAGAACAAAATTCCCTCCACCTCTCCACATCAGCCAGATAACCTGGCTGCCTAAGTTAACACTCAAAGGCTGACGAGACGCCTATGTGATATCACTGCCTAAAGGTTAAGTCAGGTGGAAGGTTATAGTCCACCACTCAAAGATAGACGATAACACTTGGCCACTCTGTAACCACATGGGTGCCCTTCAACCTTACCTCATTGTGGCTCTGAGTGAGGTACTGATCAGAAGGGTGATAGTCTACTTTGCATCAAAGCACTGGCAACACATTAGCCCTGGGGGTTATTGAAGCACCAGCCCAGCCCACAGCCTCCTGGTCCAGCTTTGTGAGCAAGAGTACCTGACCAAGCCAGGCTGGTCCTATGGGTGGAGAATCAGAGAGAACCAGAAAATCCTGCTACCCAATTCTCTAGAGAAGTGACACAGCCAGAGGAGGGACCAGCAAGCAGAGCAATCTGGGGTTTGGTTTGAAGGCGGTGGCTTGCAGATCCTATGCCATATCTTTCTAAAACCATCTTGGCTGAAAAGCAAGGCAGTGAAACATATAACCCAAGCCAACACCTTCAAAACATCATCAGCCTTGGAGGGCAAAATGTTGGGTTGGTGATAGTCTGCAACAACTTCCTGCTTGAAATCATGCTGAAAGTAACAAAATCCTCCTGCCAGTCTACTGCTAGATAAAACAGGAGTCAAACCTTGACCCTTTGCCACCAAGGTGCTCCAAGTCTGTAGGCTAGTTGTTGTTGTTATTAGCTGCTGTTGGGTCGATTCCAACTCACAGCGCCCCCATGTGTGCACAGAATTTTCTCAAAGGGTTTTCAAGCTTTCAAGCTCTGTGAGTTCAGAAAAAGCTTTTATGCAAAACACATCTCCATGAATGAATGTGAAAACATGCTCTGTCATCAGCTTAGGTCACCCCTCAGAGGTAAAGTGCTAGAAAGAGCATCTCATGAGCAACTATTTTCCACATGACTGAAAGGAATTAAACAGACTTCCGTGGGGGTGTGCAATAGCAGATGGCCTAAAATAGAATCTCAGCACCCAAAAACATTCTCCCGTTGCTCAAACCTTCCTGTCTAAAAGGAAAAGCCAGGAGATTAAAGAGAGTTCAGTCATTTCTAAACAGGGTAAGGTTGGTCTATAATTTATAACGGCAGGAACAAAAATCAATGTTAAATAAAACAAAGCCATTTTATAAACATCTGGTAGGTTTATAACAGGACAAGATTTCTGGTTCCCAGCACAAATTCTAACATTCAAGACCCTTTGTGAGCTCCTGGTACCCACCTAGTTTCTAGCCAGAACCTTCTCCCCACAGATCTCAGTAACCCAAGAAAATTGGCACCAAGAAAGGGAACATATGGTACAGCCACACGCGAAATTTTGTGGTTAAGAGCGAAACAAAATTCAACAACCAAATGACAAACAATCCAGTCCAAAAAATGGGCAAAGGCTGAACATCATTAGTCATTTGCTGTTGTAATTAATTGCCCTCTAGTCCATTCCGACCAATAGTGACCCTGTATAGAGTTTCCGAGGATTGGCTGGTGGGTTTCAAGCACTGACCTTGAGAGTCAAGTGACCTTGTAATCCAGTGCATTATCCCACAGCACTTCAAAACCAAAATTTCCATTAGGATGCTTATTATCAGAAAAGTGGAAAATAACAAGTGTTGGTGAGAATGTGGAGAAATTGGAATCCTTATATATTACTAGTGGGTACTGTAAGCAAAACAGTAGAGCTGCTATGAAAATAGTTTAATGATCATCAAAAGTCAAACATAAAACTACAATATGGGCCAGAAATTCCA